GACTAGAATGAAGAATTTATATGAGGAGGGAGGGTGGATGGTGAGGCTGGAGAATAGATTGTAGGTAGTCTGTTGTGCTGGGTCTGGGAAGTTAAGGACTTTCAACTTTTCCTACCCCTAGGCAGCCATTAAAGGTTCTTAATTTGAGGAGTAACAGGATTAAATTTGTTATCAATATGAAAATTACAGCAGGCATGGAATTCTGATTCAACTCACCTTTAACACCTACAATGTGCTAGAATTTCATATATGTTACCTAATTACTAATAGCAACCTTGTGTGATAGGTATTTATCTCCACTTTACAGCTAAGAGAATGGAATCTCAGAGTTTAAGTGACTTGCCTACATTCACATTAATAACTGGCAATAAAAGAAGATGACAGTTTCTGAAAGTAATGGGAAAGGAACCAGAAGTCTTGCGGGAATATACCTTAGTATTTAAGAATCGTGAGTTAGTTAAATCAGAGTCAGGCTGTATAAATGGTTTCTGATAACATGGTAACATGTTATTTAGAAAACTATATAATGGTCATTATAAATGAACAGTGCTGGTAGTTTTTAACAGAAGTGTTTAAATGGCCAGGGATATGTTATTACTTTCAACATCTTTGTAAATGTCAATGCAAAAGGATGCAAACCCTGAAGGTGGGCATGTGAAAGTGCCTGGCGCCTTGCCTGACGCCTTGTGCAGCTGCTCAGTAACTGCTGAATCAGAACCCAGACAGTGTGGAAGAGGCCTCGGCATGTCCCCGAAGTTAGTATCTTCACATATACATTAATCCAACTGGGGCAAGATTCACTGGTTTTGAATGCCAGACTTTTACAGAAATAGCTGTGTTTTAGTTTGCAGGTTCTGACTTTTAAACAGGTTCAGAAATTCACATGATCAGCTAAGATCTTATTCTAGGAGGCAAAGGAAAAAAAAAAAAACCTACCACTGTAAATACTCTTTAGAAAGGAAAAAAATATATACAAACGAAAAGCCACAGTTAGAAGGCATTATTCTTCTGCCCTTCTCTGATTCTTGTCCTGCTGGAAAATGCTACTTCGGTACCTCATTGTGCTTTAATATGAGATACTTTAATTGTGTTCATGAGAGCTTTTCCTTCTGTACTGCTAATACTATATAGTCTAAGAGGAAAATGTGGAAGATAATAGGTCAGCTGAAACCCTATTGCCTACATGTTTTTTTTTTTAATGTTCATTTATTTATTTTTTTGAGAGAGCCTACGTGAGCACACTAACAGGGGAGGGGCAGAGAGAGGTGGGGACAGAGGATCTGAAGCAGCCCCTGTGCTGAAAGCAGAGAGCGCAAGGCAGGCCTCCACCTCACAAACTGTGAGATCATGACCTGAGCTGAAGGCAGACACTTAACTGACCGAGCCACCCAGGTGCCCTGCCCACCTGTTGTCAGTCGCCTTTTTCTCTGCAACCCCGACAGCCAGTTGTCATGTATGTAAGATAAGCGGGTACAGGAACTCCCTCAAATCATTTTGAATTCAGGTCTGTGTTTCTTGTGGATGAGCTCTTGTGCCTCTCTCAGCCCCCTTCCCCTCTCTCACTCTCTTTCTTCCTCTCTTTCTCTCTATTTGTTTAGGAACATCTAGCTAGCAAGTCGTAGAGCTCAGATTGGCATTCGGGTCTGTGTGGCTGCCCAACCTCATGCCCTTTCCTCTTCTGTCCACTGTGTTGGATGGCCCTGCCCAAATGGAAGAATTGCCATCTGACAGTATGTACCGTCTGCCTCCCTGATTCTAAAAAAATTCTTTTTCTTTTCCTTGTCAGTGTCCTTTAATTTTTTTTAATGTTTATTTATTTTTGAGAGAGAGAGACACAGCATGAGCAGGGAACGGTCAGAGAGAGAGGGAGACACAGAATCTGAAGCAGGCTCCAGGCCCTGAGCTGGCAGTCAGCCCCTACGCGGGGCTCGAACCCACGAACCGTGAGATCATGACCTGAGCTGAAGTCAGACACTTAACCGACTGAGCCATCCAGGCGCCCCTATTTCTTAGTGTCCTAAAGCTTTGCTCCAGTGAAACAGGGCTTTCTTAATTTTTCCCTTTTGTCTCCCTAAATTGTTGCCAGGCTTTGTGATAAAGTCAGTAGTAGTACAGCCATCAAATTCTATTTGTAATCTACCTTATTAAACTGATTTCAATAAAGAGCTATTTTGTAGACTCCAAATGGTCTAGAGCTGGGTTTAATAATGACGTTTATTTAATTTCATTTATTAATTCATTTTAAAATTAGATTAAAATTTTCTCTATTTGACCCTTATTTCCAATACCAGTGTTGGAAACTAGAACCAAATGTAATTCAGATAGTTAAACACATTGTTGGAGTAGATGTAAGGAGTTCTTTTTTATTTGGGGGGGCGGATGGAGAATTTCTTTTCTTTTTTATGATGTGACATTTGACACATATAAGCGGAGCATAAAAATAGAATGAACGCCTATGAGCCTGCTTTGAGTTCACTTAGAGTTACTTAGACTTAAGAAGTAGAAGATTTAGGTATTACTCAGGTTCCTGTATCTGTTCTGTGATCCATTCCCCACCTTCCTCCTGGAAATAAGCCCTCGAGCATTTTATTTACTCTCCCCTATTATTAGCCTTATTGTTTTGCCTGTGGCAGAAAGGTTGTTTTTCTTGCTTGTTACTATTTCATCTTAACCCTGAGTAGATAACTGTCCTAAAACGAAAATTTAGCAAATTAAATGACAGGCTAATATACATAAACATCTAAGTATGTCTGGGTAGAGTTGATTTAAATGCATATGTAGCCAAACTCTGGCCAAATAAGGTTTGGGCCCAGGCAACTACAGAACTGTGTTTATAAAATCTTATTTAAAAAGCTCTTTCATTTTACTGAATACATAGTATCCTTCTGGTAGGTACTTTGCTTCTTTTCCAGCGTTGCTTTTGTGTTTTACTCCTCATACGTTTGTCAGTAAAAGAGAAAAAAAAGAAGCACTTGTCAATGTAGCACTGTGTTGTGTTCTCAGACTTTCCTAGTTGTATTTAAATAAAGTCAAAATTTACAAATTTTGTGTATTTTAAAATCAAATTTCTTTTTTTGGTTTAATATTTTGAATAATGTTCAGAATTTAGAAGAGTTGTCGAGTCATACATTTAGGTTATAGTGTCTTTTACATAGTATTTGAAATAACATTTCCATAAAATTTTTGATAAATATTTTAGATTTATTTTCCTATGTACTTAGTATTCAGTGTAAGAGGTAGCACTAAGTATCTTTCTTCTTTTTTAATTTTTTTAATGTTTATTTCTGAGAGAGAGAGAGAGAGAGCGAGTGAGTGGAGGGATGAGAGAGAGAGGGAGACACAGAGTCTGAAGGAGGCTTCAGGCCCTGAGCTGTCAACACAAAGCCCAATGCAGGGCTTGAACTCACGGGTCACGAGACCATGACTCGAGCCGAAGTCAGATGCTCAACTGACTGAGCCACCCTGATACCCCACTAAGTATCTTTAAAAAAAAAAAAAGCTGTTTTTATTTAGTAGTGAAGTAGCCATAAATTACCATTATTATATATAATGAAGTTCAGATCCAAGATCAGTTATCCAAGGAATATATCTTAGATAAGACTTTGAAGGGAGATATCTCCTTGAATTTGTGGAACTTAAACGCCATTAGGGTGAAAATTGGTTTTTTTTTTTAACCATATAAGCTTCTTTCCTCATTACAAAAATATTGCTTTCTGTCTTTGAGAATGATGACTGAGACATGTCTTGGGAGCTGAAAATGAAGAGAGCTCCTTCTTCTTTTCCAGTTTGAATTAAGGAAAAAGGTAAAGACCGAGAAACTTGCCTAACAAATCCATTAAATCTTGTAATCAGTAGGCTCTGTATACCCGGTTAGGCTAAGTATAGCCAGAGCTGGGCCTTAGCAGACAATGCAAGGCAGCTGTTAAGAAGTTGTCGTCTTTAGCAGGACATGAGGAAAGCTCTATGTACAACCAGCTAGACCTGCGTCACAGGAGTTACGGCAGATCCAGTAAAGAGAGGAAGTATAGGTAGGATCAAACTAAAAAGGATCCTTGACTGAAAATCCTTGATTTTTAAAAATCTTAATGTGGAGGGGCACCTGGGTGGCTCAGTTGGCGAAGCATCATTATATCACAGTCCATGGGTTCGAGTCCCTCATCGGGCTCTGTGCTGACAGCTCAGAGCTTGGATTCTCTTTGGGATTCTGTGTCTCCCTCTCTCTCTCTGCCCCTCCCCTACTCATGCTGTCTCTCACTTTCAAACATAAATAAACATTAAAAAATTTTTTTTTTTTTTTAAATCTTACTGTGGAATGAATCCTAACCAATTTGGTGCGATGAAAGATGCATAAATGCTCAGGAACTAAAGTGAATGAGTCTTGTACTCTGATATATTCTAGAATTATTTCTCTTACTTTATCACAGAGCTGTGTCTGTCTTATATATAGTACGAAGCTTTAATTTTTTTTTAATGTTTTATTTATTTCTGAGAGAGAGACAGCACGAGTAGGGGAGGGTCAGAGAGAGAGGAAGACACAGAATCTGAAACAGGCTCCAGGCTCTGAGCCAGCTGTCAGCACAGAGCCCGATGCAGAGGTCAAACCCACTAAGCATGAGATCATGACCTGAGCCAAAGTTGGACGCTTAACCGACTGAGTCACCCAGGCACCCTAGTACCAAGCTTTTAAAACAGGCCTTTTCTTGGTGTGCTGGGCTCTGTCTTCATTTAAGCATATATGTATTCTTGTATGTCTTCAGGACTCCATAGTGTGCAAATTTAGCCTGCGAATGCATGAGTCATTCCATTTTACCCACATGTAGGCAAACCAGGCTTTAGTCAAAACTTTTTGCTATTGAGGTTCTTTGTCCAATATTTTCTTTTCACTTTTTTTTTGAGAGACTGTTCACTAAAATTTTTCTTTGGTTTAGTTGCATCAATTAGTTGTTTGTTTTTTTAAGCCATCATTATTAGTTTCTTTAATATATTACTCTTTTTGTTAGGATGGACGTTTGAAGCCAGGAGATCAACTTGTCTCAATAAACAGAGAATCTATGATTGGTGTATCCTTTGAAGAAGCAAAAAGCATAATTACCAGAGCCAAGTTAAGGTAACTGTCTTATCCATAAAATTGAATGAATTTTTTAGCATGTCTTCTCAAAAATAGTAATTTAGGAGATTTAAATACTTTAGACCATAAAGTAAGTATACCTTTATAATATGTGAAACATTATCTTAAAATTCTTTTGTACCATACCCATAACATATCCATAAAGTTATTTCTTTTTAATGCTAGATCAGAATCTGCTTGGGAGATAGCGTTCATAAGACAAAAATCAGATGCCAATCATCTAGAAAATCCATCTTGTGCATCCCTTTTACAAGCTTCAGGAGAGCATGGACCACACGCCTCAACATTTGGTCCTCTTCCGTCTGCCCCTGAAATACTAATTCCAAAGACCTCATCTACGCCCCGAACTACAGATACCATTTTATCTTCTTTTAAGAGAAATCAGGTAATCTTACATTTCTCTGTATATTTATGCAGCCTATAAATCCTCTCTATATTTTTACGTTTGTTATGTACATATAGAATTATAACTTTGGCAACGCAATTTTTTAACATTTTGGTATTTACCTGAGAGACCTTTTCTTTTTTTCTGTTTAAGAATTTTATGCTGTGCTGTGTCAATAATACAATTTTTCAAGTCAGTATGTCTTTTATCCAGAAAGTCATGATGAGGGACAGCCTTGCAACAATATCCTTAGAAAGCACTCAAAACTGTGTTAGGCATGTCGTATTTATTTTCAGAAAGTCTCTAATATGGTTTATTATGATTCCTATCTTCTTATTGACTGAAGACAGGCAGTCTTCCTTTTTGTTCCTTAGCTTTTTCACCTGCACAGTGAGGCTAATCCTGATTACCCATGTAGGTGGATATGGTTCCCTCATGTGTGTATGCTAATACCTCGCTCACCCCAGTAGAATCACACAGAAGGTAGAGTTTCTACATCAAAATTGACAGTCAGTTACTAATAGCTACAGTGCCCTGACAAATCAAAGTTAAAACAAATAGAGCATATACTGTTAAAATCCATGTTAGCTATAGAACAAAATAGGAAACTCAGGTAGACTTTCAGTCAATGGATAAAATCCATCAAAGGTAATTTCAGTTTCAAGTACCTGCTAATAAGATGCAGAGTGTAAGATTATCTGTCAGCCTCTTACATTTTTTTATTTGGGTTATAATACCATTCCAAAGATAAGGTACGTGGCCTTATATTTTGCTGTCCTTGGACAGGATAGAGCTAAAAGTAATTTTTACCTTTAATTCTGAAATGCTTCGTTTGAAGATAAATATACCAAAATTTTAGAGATTTCATATTTTTTGGACCACAGCTTTAATCTCATAAACCATCCTTTTTATGTTAATGTGAGCGTCTAGTCTGGTCTTTGACCTACTTTAGAAAATACATTTTATATTCTTCCTTTTCTTTCATAGATAAAAACTGGATACAAGAAAACAGAACAGACTCCAATTACTTCTTCAGAAAACAGCCCTACAGATATGTCTAATACAGGTAAATGCACATTTAATTCCTCTTTACTGTTACTTCTTTCAATTACTCTTTCTCAACGAGGAGTACATAATGTGACTTAATAGACTTTAAAGAAGGGTGCATTATGCCTTTTTTCCTTCAATGAATAAAAGAGCAAAATGAATGTATTGTGCAGTGGCTCTTGTTAGATTATGACTTTTATTAGAAATTTTCCTTAACAAAGAGTTGAAATTTTAAGATGCATTATCGTAACGGTGTCTGTGAAGCTATAATAACTGACGGACTATTGAAACCAAATAATGTAAACTCGTCTTTAAATCAAGACTAGGCTCCCTTGTCCTTTAGTGAAATACTGGTGAGGTTTATTAAGTGCACCTTTAAGAGCTATTAGAGATAGGAATATAGCTTAAGAAAAGAAGTATGTTTTTGTAAGAAAAGATTATTATAAATGTAAGTTAGAAAGAATATCAGTATTATGAATTGAATATTATTGCTTATAATTACCATGAAATCATTTACTGACTTTGTAAGACAATAAAGTATTAATTTTGTAACCTACCCAGAGAGACAGAATTTTATCAAACTGTAAAGTATCTTTTAGTGGCTCAATATCAAGAAAAAAGCCTTCCCTTTAAATTATCTCCAAAAATTAAGTACAACAATGAAAAAACCACGAGTATAGAAAGGAGAAGTTAATTACATATGTTTAAACTGTAATGCAAATTGTTACTTATATATTTTAATTTTTAATGGTGTTAATCCAGATCAAAATTGCAAAATGAGGACAAGTAAGTATAAATTACATAGTATCATAGTCCACTTGGGCTGCTGTAACAAAATGCCACAGACTGGGTGGCTTATAAACAGCAGACATTTATTTCTTTTTTTCATTAAAAAAATTTTTTTAATGTTTTATTTATTTCTGAGAGAGAGAGAGAGAGACAGCGTGAGCAGGGGAGGGTCAGAGAGAGAGGGAGACACAGAATCTAAAACAGGCTCCAGGCTCTGAGCTAGCTGTCAGCACAGAGCCCGATGTGGGGTTCAAACCCACAAACTGTGAGATCATGACCTGAGCCGAAGTCGGACGCTTAACCCACTGAGCCACCCAGGTGCCCCAATAGACGTTTATTTCTAAGGGTTGTGGGGGCTGGAAGTCCAGGATCACGGTGTTGGCAGGGTCCCGGTAAGAGCCTTCTTCGGTTGCAGGCTCCCCATTATGGCCTCATATGGTGGAGCGGCTAGGAAGACCTGTGCGATCTCTTTCATAAGAACACTAGTCCCATCTATGAGCTCCCGTCTTGTGACCTGAGGCCCCGTCTCCTAATGCCATCATCTTTGAGGGTTAGGATGTCAACATATGAATTTGGGGAGGACATAAACATTCAGAGCACAGCACACAGGCACCACACTAAAGGAATTTATAGTGCATTTCACAGTAGTTTTGTCTGATTTGGAGCGGTGTATCGGTAGCAGTCTTTAGCCATAAATTATATGCCCTTTTACTGAGTGGAATTTGTGGACTCTTAGAAACCTTATTAGTATTATCCCCTTAACATAATTAATTTCCATTCTCTGGATGTATTGTTTTCTTCTCATATGAGAAAAAAAAGATAAATGTAAAAACAAACGATGGTGAGGATACATTTACATAACGTGTTCTTAATTTTGAAAGTAATTGAGAGGCATCTTGGTGGCTCAGTTGGCTTAAGCGCTCAGCTTGGGCTTAGGTCATGATCTCACGGCTTGAGAGTTCAAGCCCCGCGTCTGTCTCTGTGCTGACAGCTCAGAGCCTGGAGCCTGCTTCAGATTCTTTGTCTCCCTTTCTCTCTTACCCTCCCCTGCTCATGCTATGTCTCTCTCTCTCTCAAAAATAAAATAAACATTTAAAAGAAACGAAGTAATTGAACTACTCGATGCTTCTCTTAGTTTTTTATTAATTCAGGAAACATTTATGTCATGTATGTAGAAAACATAGTTCAGTAGGAATTATGAAGGAATTAGGATATTTTCCATGAGCTATTTAATAGTCTATGGTGAAATAAAACACAGAGTTAAAAAAAACCTTCATTATTCAGATTAGAACATATATACGTATGTGCCTATTTTATTGAATAACTACTATTTGCAGTATTCTTTGTTAACTAGAGCAGGATGTGAGTGGTCTTCATGCTCAGAATATACTGTCTTGTCACAAACAGTGTAAAGACATGAAGAAAATGGACTGAGGAAAGAAGTGGCCTGAGTGTGGTGTAGGGAAGGCACAGGCCCTGAATGCAAATGTGCAAATGTAGAGGTTGATATCTTTGTTCCTAAATTATCAGCTGTGTAACTTTGAAATAGTTTCCTCCTGGGTCTTTATGAGTTAATACTCATGTGTGAAATCATGCACATCAAGCATTTAGCGCTGTAGTTGGTACATAGTATATGCTCAGTAAGTTTTGCTATTATTAATATTACAGAACTCACAGACTAGGGTGTAGCTCAGATAATATTCCAGGGCATGTTTTTAGAGCAGAAGCAAAAGCTCCCATCCTTTAATTCAATTCTGCATCCTCCCCTCGCCCAAAAAACTATAATAAAGGATTTGTCACGACATATGCAGAAATTTCTTAGCAAAAGTCAGACATCATCCAGTCTTGAAAGAATAATAAATATTGGGTCGCCTGGGTGGCTCAGTTGGTTGGGTATCTGACTTCAGCTCAGGTCATGGTCTCATGGTTTGTGAGTTTGAGCCCCATGTCGGGCTCCGTGCTGACAGCTCAGAGCCTGGAGCCGGCTTCAAATTCTGTGACTCCCTCTCTTGTTCTGTCCCTCCCCTGCTCATGTGCTCTCTCTCTCTCTCAAAAATAAATAAACATTAAAGAAAGAATAGTAAACATCAATTGATGGCTAAAGGAGATTATCCTATGTGAAGGAAGTACCATGGACCATATAAAGAGCTAAGGAGGAGCTAGATCGATGTCAGATGACCCTAGGAGGCCAAACTAATTAGAGCAAAGGGATCCCAGAGCGATGAATAAAATTAATTTACATCAGTAACTAAAATAAACAATACCATATTTTGTAGTAGAAAAATGATTTAATGAAAAATACATTTGAATGCATAAGCTGTATGAGAAGTAAATATTAAAATGCAATTAAAACAACATTTTTCTAGGGTAGAATTAGCATTGAGTTAGTCCTAGATTTTTACTTTCACATAAATGTCGAAGGCCAGATGTTTCTGTGGGGGGAAAGAAAACAAAATCAACCCTAAATTATCTCTGGGTAACTTATCTGTGTTGTGATTTGTCTGTTATAAGCACTTAATTATAGATTGTTCCCAAATTAGACCTTTAACTGTCACATCTATATTTCTTTGGCCAGCTGGTATGTATTCAAAACATGTAAACAAGTTTTAACGTTAACCTCAACAAAAATTAAACTTAATTGAGGCAAATCTACCTCTGTTCCCATCTCAAAATTATTCCAAAGTGTAAAACTGGTTAGAATTTTAAAAATCTACATAATAGTCAAATATGTTTTTAACAACTATTCTATTCTGTAAATTTATTGCAGAACCCACAGCCATTTACTATTGCCATAAGGTAATGAACAAATGATCTTATAAGTGGGCTGAAAGCATACCAAAGACATTCCTAAAAAAATTAGTAAAGAATTATTGCATGAAGAAATATCATTACTTTAACTTTACTGTAACACAAACCATAATCCTCCCACACTAAGGTTTTATAACTGAAACAAAATAGTGATAGGGAAAAATAACCATGGAGGGTTCATGGTACAAACCAAATGGTTTTGATCCTGCCCTCTTAAACTTTCTCTGTCTTCTAAAAAGAGGAATAAAAGAGAAGATCCAAGAGAATAATAAGCCATCCTTTGAAAATCCTCACTTCCCTAGAGAGGAGCAAATCAAGAGCTTGAGGCCGGAATTGAGAGATGTCACTGGCAGATGGGAAAAGCTGTCTGTCTATGAGGCTTTTCAGGTCAAGCTATTCTGAATTACCAAAGCATTCCAGATTTATGCACAAATCCTCCTAAGGTTTTGACTCAGAGGTATAGTTTTAGGGGAAGGTTGTCTGAAAGAAAGTGAGATTTTGTTAAGCCATGATTGCATATTGTTAAATGGGTGGGTTAGTGTAATTTTACATTAAATCTCCTGTTTAAATATATTTCTTTGTTAATATTAACAATATTCTGTAGTGCTCATAGTTTTCTATGATTTTTTATTTTACCTTTACAATTCCTGTAAGGTGGATTCATTTGTTCTACTTTATAGCCAAGAAAACCTGATAAAAGATACTGACAACATTAAAAAATAGTGACTTTGGGGAGCCTGGGTGGCTCAGTCGGTTGAGTGGCTGACTCTTGATTTCCACTCAGGTCATGATCTCACAGTTCATGGGATCGAGCTGCACTCACAGCATGGACCCTGCTTGGGATTCTCTCTTCCTCTCTCGCTCTCTGCCCCTCCCCCACTCATGCTTGCCCTCTCTCTCACTCACACTCTTTCTAAATAAATAAATAAATAAATAAATAAACAGACAAATTAAACAAAAAAAAAAGAAGAAGAAGAATGGCTCCAGAAGTCACAAGAGATTAGAAACCTGACATGGTCACCTACTAGCTGTGTGATCATAGGCTAGTTTCTCTACCTTTTTGGGCCTTGATCTCTTCATCTTTTCAATGGGAATAACAACATATATGTCATTATGGTTATAGTAAAGCTTAATGAGCTTATCTATATGAAGTATTTAATGCACTGCCTAGCTAAAAGTAAGCATAAATAAGATTTAATCTTCTGTTATTTCCACTGTTACACATAGCAAATTTTTATCCTTACATGTAGGAAAATGTAGGTGAGACTGAGGGCCTTAGTGTGTTGAATGCTTTGTGTGCTCTCTCTCCCTCTCCCCGCCCCCCCCCCCCCACCTTTCCACACATTTACCCTTGAACTGAGTAATTCACTCCCAGGATTAAGATTATTGGTCTGAAATCATAATTAAGTTAGTTTGGGTCCACCTAGTATTCATGTGCTTTAATTGCAGATCAGGCACCAAGCTGAAGGTCATTGTCAAGCCTCACAAATCCATACCTTAAAAATGAAAAATAAAAGTTTGACTTATCTGCTATTGGGCCTTCTCCACCACTCTACACCGATCTTTTGTGCCACACTATAGGTTTGGCACAGAGTTTCTCTTAAGAGAAAATAATATAGATATAGATCTATAGATACACACTATTTTTTGTCTCATAGCTAACAATTAAGTATCATGTTAACAAAACTTTTATCAGAATTGTATAACAGAAGTCTATTATACTAAAATCACTCTTGCTCAAGGTTTGATTCCATTTGAAACTAAAAGTCAGTAACCATTTTTTTATGATCTTGACACCTATAAGCTATATTCAAGATTTTACATAGAATGTTAAGGATGTGTTAAAGGTTTAGAGGAAGACTATTTATTTTCATATGCGCTTCTTATGTTCTTAAGAAAGAGAATGCAAATCATTTTGTACTTAGAGACAGATGCTCTGAGAAATTTAAAAAAATTAAAACACTGCATAAAGATGTGACATTTCAAAAAGTTTTTTCTCTTCCTCTTGTTTCTATGTAGAACTAGTAAAATACCATTTAGAAGTGTACTTAGAATAGTGACAATTTAGATATAAGGATTGACATGAATTACAGGAATTTGTTTCGCAAACTTTGGCACATTAAAAGAAATAATTTTTTGGGGAGCCTGGGTGGCTCAGTCGGTTAACTGTCCGACTCTTTTGATTTTGGCTCAGGTCATGATCTCATGGTTCGTGAATTCTAGCCCCACATCGGGCTCTGCACTGACAGTGCAAAGCCTCTTGAGATTCTCTGTCTCCCTTTCTCTCTGCCCCTCCCCTGCATGCTCCTGTGCGCACACTTTCTCTCTCATAAAATAAACTTTTAAAAAAATGTTTTTTTAATTAAAATTAAAAATTTTAATGTTTCTTAAATTTATTTCTGAGAGAGAGAGAGAAAGGCAGCGTGAGCAGGGGAGGTTCAGAGAGAGAGATACAGAATCTGAAACAGGCTCTAGGCTCTGAGCTGCCTGTCAGCACAGAGCTCAACGTGGGGCTCGAACCCACAAACCATGAGATCATGACCCGAGCCGAAGTCAGACGCTTAACCAACTGAGCCACACAGGCACCCCCCCAAAAATTTTTTAAAAAATGAATAAGTTTTCAAGGTCTAGTCCTTTGTAGTGTGTGGTCTCTTATGCATGCAGCAAGGACAAAGGCGTATCTAAATAATCGTGTAGATTGAGAAGGTGTTAGGATGAGTGAGAGGTGTATAAAACTCAACTCTTGAAAGTCCATCTATGCTCCTTGAAATATGACCCTCTGTCAAATAAGAAATAGGATTTTTGGTTCCAGGAGTTCTGAGTCTATCATACTTTAGACGCAAACTTGAAACAATTTGCATTTATGAGTTTTTGCATAGTACCTTCAAAACTGACATAACAAAGCCGCTTTTGCCAGTCAAAGAAATATCTTGATCTTCTTGAATTCCTAATATGATTTTACTTATTTTGGAAGAAAAAAGGCTTCACTTAACAAGGAGTAAGGCATTGTGATGATGAGGGAGTGGTAGGATGTATGTTTGTCTTTTAAATTAATATTCCCATGGGACTTAATGCGTAATTGGCCATTCTTTTTATATTATATCATTTAGTGCCTAAGTGAAGCTGATTTATATGATACATTTTAGATTTAAAGAAAAAAAATCATGAAAACAAAAGTGGAAGCTGCCAACTGATTAGCCAGAATTATTTTTGAACAGCGGGAACCCAGAACACATTCTGTCAAATGAAAAGTTCTATTCCAATTAAATTTCCAATTAACGTGCACCCTGTTGTCTCTTAGATATTGCCCCTGCCTGGACTGATAATTATGGACCACAAGGAAAGAAGATTTCCCTAAACCCCTCTGTTCGCCTTAAGGCAGAGAAACTGGAAATGGTAAATACTTTAAATTTCCATTTTTCTTCCATAAAACAACAGTAAGAAAGTGTTCTCATTCTTAGAGGATAAAGAACTAAAGCCATTACTTTCTTGAAGAGTTAACTTATTTGCAATTAAATGAATGGCAGTTTGGGTTTTAATTATTTATGTTTGGGTTGAGCAGCCAACCCACAAGTACAAAATAGAAATAAAACCTTTTGTAACTAAATTGACACCAAATTAATCTGTTTCCTCCTGTGCAGGAATAAGACAAATGTGATGTTTTACAATGTAGAATTAAAGGGAACATGGAATAAATTATGACAAAGTGTATATAAAGGCAGTAAGAGCAAGGAAATAATTCTTCAACTTTTTAAAAAGCAAAGGGAAACTAAAGCCTAAAAAACAAAACAGTCAGATGCTCACTAAATACAAGGAAGATGGCAGTAATGTACTTAGAGGCACCAAAAAAATAGTCCTGGGGAGAATAAAGTATTGAGAGCTTCTGTATGTAAAAGAAACCTAAGGTGATTAAAAAGGAAGAATTAAAAGTAGAAAAGCATTTTAGAGCTCTTCCTATCAGGTTACCTGAAAGCTCACAGCAAAAATGAGCTGTGTCTTTTATATATATATATATATATAAGTGGATATGGTGCTGATGGTCCACAGCCTCTACTTTCCTGTCAGTTTTTGTGGATAAAGATTTCTTACATTTTAGGAGGAGTTGAAAATGCTTGAAAATGCGTAGCTACAATAAATATACATTGTGCTTATTCCCATATTCACACTTTTCCCTGGTCCTACACCAATGTCCGTTCCATAATCTATTTAAATCTTACCCATTGTTCAAATCCTAATTCAGTTCCAATCCCTGTGTCTGTTATAGTTTGAGCAAATACTCCCTTATTTTGCACATCTACAGCACTTAATGTCACATTGTAGTGCTGTATAATCTTATGTGTATTCTATTTTGACAGCAAGATAAAGTTTCTTCACAGAAATATCTAGTACACCAACCACTGTTTAAACACTTGTGTTCATTAAAACTTTCCAATTATTAGGTAGTTAAGATAACTCCTTTAGATTTTCAAACTCCTGACTCTCTTTTGCTAATGTGGACTTTCTTTTTATTGGTGGCTGGAATATTTGAGGTTTAAAAAATCTATAAATAACTAAAAAATAAGCAGTTATTGTTTTTAGGTTGATGTTGCTTTAATATGCATTTCTGAACATCTAGTATTTAATACCAACCATTTCTCTGGATAAGGAGAAAGTTATCCAGCTAATGACTGCCTGGCAGCCTTTGTTCTTTTATGTGATTTAAGCTTTCTTAGTGATGAGGGAGTGTGGGGCAAGCTGAGGGCAAAGTACAGGCTAACGGCATCCCCACCCCACCCCCAGATGGAATATGTGAGATATTCCTCCAACACTTCTGGCTGCCCAAGAATTGGGGAAAGGAAAGAAAGCAAATTCTTTGTTTTTGTTTTTGTTGACTGATAGTGATCACAGTCATATATGACAGGACAGGAGTCTCCTTCAGTTTATGGATAACTTAGTAAACTGCAAGAAAAAGGCAATCATCTACACCTAATCTCCAGAAACCTATAGACTCTGTTTCCTGGAGCCCTAATATCACCCTGATCAAGATGTAAGGGGGTTTAAGTGCCTGCCCTGGTCCTGTAGAAAACAAGGGCAAATGAAGAATTAAATTCCCTTACTGCCTACAGCCCATTGACAAGTCCTTGAGCCAGGCCGAGTGAGGTCCCTCTAGGAGCTCAGCTGCCTCAATGATGGCACTTTGCTAGGGGCAAAAGGGAATCTTGGTTTAACATTAATCCTGAACCCCCAGGATCCTATAAGTCTACTTTAACATATAAAAATTCCTTTGGAAACTTCCTTTATTTCCACTCCCGCAAGGTATATGCTGGCAATCGTACTCCCAGCATATGGCCCCCTGATACACGTCTGAAGGGTCTCATGACTGAGGTTTTACTGAACAGTAATAAGTAGCATTTTCGTAACAACAACTAACCCCTCAAGGTCCTGGAAACCTTGCTTCCAAAATTCCTTAGTGATTTACGCTGTCCCTAACCCTCCCAACCTGAGGGTAGATAATCAGTTACTTGTTACAACCCCAGTGCAGCTCTTCCTGCCCACAGGTCCTGTCCCCATGCTTTAATAAAATCACCTTTTTGCACCAAAGACATATTCAAGAATACTTTCTTGGCCTAATGACTTTATTTAGTAGGGCATTTTTTGTTTTCAGAGTTTGAAACTGTATCTTACTTATTAAGAATTTTTTTCCAAAGTCCACATTAGCTCCTATCTACCCAAATATTTGCTAAGCTACTCTTCCTTTTGTTTAGTTACATTATGTTGTAATAATATCTGTATCATTCCATTAGAAATAGATCCTTCTTTCAGTTGCTACTTTATAGACAGATTCAGTAACAGATAAGGCCAACGTGATCAAATATTTAAAATGAAATAAAATTATCTGTTTCCTTTATCTTCTATAAATATATTACATATACCATCTAGGAAATTGTTATAATAAAATTTCACAAGGAAATGGCATTGTCAAGACATATACATATATGGCAATGTCTTCATGAAATCGTCTATGTTTTACTAGTCTACTTAGACAGTTTTGTATCAGGATATTCTGGAAAGTGATTTCTAATACTGAACACTTATCTCTTAATTCCTCGTCTGAAAAATGGCCTTTTATGGCTGAGGATGATTTAATTTTGCAGATATTTTAAAATAAGTTCACCATAGTTATTTGCAGTGCCATATTTTTTAAAGTATTTTTATGAATACTATGGGTCTCATTGAATCCTAATAATAAACCTGTAAGTAGACATGGTAAACCCAGCAAATAGGTATACAATTTGTTAGTTGGCTTGAAGACAAAGGATTACTGTACTATCTGTATTTTTGTACCTGAGAAAGATGCTTTGGGATACAGATGCCATTTCGCTGATATTTACTTTACCTCTTGCCATTTCTGTAACATTTGAAGAAAGCTGTAGTGAGCAACGGCATACCTGGTGTCTGATTACAGTTAATGAGATGTTCTTTGTATTAGGTTGGGAAGTGTGTAATGAAGATTGTAAAGAAGTGACTTTTTTTTAAATTCATCATTCAGATATTAGAAAGAGTTAAGGATATTTATTTGCCCAATTAGTAAATTTGCACTTTTGCCAAAGGTTAAGGTTGTTATTCAAGAAATTTTGGAAGCTATTTTTTGACCAAAAATAGATTGTTTCCTGTTTAAATTTATGAGCTTACCTTACTGACATGCTGTATTCATCTAGAGTAAATTTCTAAAGTTTAGCTCTAGGTCAGTTTTCATTATAGCTGATTGCATTTTGTAATTTTTATTATTGTTTAGTATAAAAATAATCATTTTATTTATTTATTTATTTATTTATTTATTATTTGTTTATTTTTGGAGAGAGAGAAAGAGAGAGAATGCAAGTAGGGGAGAGTGGCAGAGTGACAGAGGGAGACAGAGACAATCTTAAGCCAGCCCCATGAGGCTCAATCCCATGACCCTGTGATCATGACCTGAGCTGACATCAAGAGTTGGACACTCAATCGAGCCCCCCAGGCACCCCAATAATTATCATATATTGCTTACAGTTGTTTTCTTTGCATTACTTTTGTAAAGTTGTTCTTATTCCTTTATATGAAAATATCAGACCTACACAGAATGATTATATTGTACATGTACAGTTTAAAGAATACTAAAACAAACATACCTGTACCCAACACCCAGCTAAGAATGAGAATTTTTGACATTGCCTGTGTGTTTCTTCTTGATCATATACACCTCTCCCTCTCCCCAAGAGATAACTGTTCTAAATGTCAAGCTTACCATTTATATGCTTTTTAAAAGTTGATTTACTAAAACATTATGAGGTCAAAGTGTTTGTTTACCTTCAATTGTACTTGAGGTGTTGCCAAAATTTGCACTTCTGTTTCTCTGGTCCCTAGAAAAACGTGTGACTCATAATAACTGCTCAGAAAATAATTGTTGAATTGCTGAATTATTTTCTATAGTAGCATTCCCACTAGTCTTAGGCAGCCATTCCCATGGCTCCACATACTTAACAGTTTGTATAATTTATAATGTATTTTTATTTATTTCTACCATTTTATTAAAATAATATTTTTGTTCTTCTATCATTTCTTCCCCTTATCCCTATATTGTATTCTTTGGTTTGATTATGTTTGAATATTTGTTTGGTTGTTTTTGCATTTTATTTTTTCTCCCCTAACTTATTCACCTCCCACTGGGAGGCTCAGTCAGTTAAGCATCTGACTTAAGCTCAGGTCATGATTTCATGGTTTGTGGGTTCGAGCCCCACATCAGGCTCTGTGCTGACAGCTCAGAACCTGGAGCCTGCTTCAATTTCTATGTCTTCCTCCCTCTCTGCCTCTCCCTTGCTCTCTCTCTCTCTCTCTCTCTCTCTCAAAAATAAACATTTAAAAAATTTAAAAAAAGAAATTATGCCTTCTTTTGCTATTCTTTTAGTGATTACCTTACAGACTCAACATGCATCTTGAACTTAAAGTTAAGCAATCTAAAGTTCATAAAATCTTCACCATTTTTTTGAAAATACCGGGTGCTTATGATACTTTAACTCTGATAAGCCTCTTATAAACTTATATTCTCATTATTGCTTAGTATTAGCTTTAGTGAGACATTGTTTCTTCAGTTCACTGTATCTTTGCAGTCATCTGCTATTTCCTGTTGAGTTTCTAATTTGTTATTATCTACCTGTTATTTTTATACTAATATCTTGTTTCTAACTTTTACTCTTGATTTACCTTTTTTTAACTTAAAAAGGATAAACAAAATATAGTACATACATATAATGGACTATTATTGGGCTACAAAAGGAATGAATTTCTAATGCATGCTTCAACATGAATAAACCTTGAAACATTAAGCTAAGTGAAAGAGGCAGACACAAAAAGCCACAATGGTAGGATTCTATTAATATGAATTGCCCAGAATTGGCAAATCTGTAGAGACAGAATATAAATTAGTGGTTGCCTAGAGCTAGGGGGACAGGGAAATAACAAGTGACTGCTAGTGGGTATAGGGTTTCCTTTTAGGGTGATGGATATTTTCTAGAGTTTCTGTTGATTGATGCCCAACTTGTCAATGTACTAAAAGCCACGCAACTATACCCTAAAATGATGAAATTTATGGTATGTGAATTACATCTCAAGAAATTTTGTTATTAAAACAAAAAGTTACATGTTGACTTGTACAGTATGGTACCATTTATACAAAAAGCAGAACTTAAAATATTTTACAAATACATATATTTATAAAAGTATGAAATAACGGTATACAAACATGCCTGGCAACTATAAAGAGAAGAGAATAAAAAAAAGTTAGGCCAAAAACGAGGAGAAAATATTTGTAGTACATATAACATATTTTAAAATACTGCTATCTAAAATATTTTTATTTAAAAAAACGTTTTAATGTTTATTTCTGAGGAGAGAGAGAAACAGAGCAGAAGCAGGGGAGGGGCAGAGAAAGGAGACATAGAATCCAAAGTAGGCTGCAGGCTCAGAGCTGTCAGAACAGAGCCCGATGCGGTGCTCAAACTCAGGAACTGTGAGATCGTGACCTGAGTTGAACTCGGATGATTAACCAACTGAGCCACCCATGTGCCCCTAAGATTTTTTTTTTTTTAAATTTTTAATGTTTTATTTATTTCTGAGAGAGAGAGAGAGAGAAGGAGCAGGGGAGGGTCAGAGAGAGAGGGAGACACAGCATCTGAAGCAGGCTTCAGGCTCTGAGCTGTTAGCACAGAGCCCGATGCGGGGCTTGAAGCCACAAACAGTGAGATCATGACCTGAGCTGAAGTCGGACGCTTAACCGACTGAGCCACCCAGGCACCCCAAAAAAATCTTACCATCAATCATAAAAAAAGAACCACCAAAACTACTACGAAGGAAGGAATAAAACCCTAGAGAAAGTTTTATCCATGGCTAGAAGTAGACGTGTACAAGAATGTTCATTGTTGCATTGCTGGTAAACAGAAAACCCCAATGTAAAGAGTGGGGGATGAATAAATTGTGATATATTCCTCTAATCAGATATTTATCAGTGAAAATGAATATACTGATGTTACAATAGGACATAACAATATGGATGAAAGATAAAACCATACTGGAGGGTGAAAAAAGCAAGTTTCAGAATTCTGACCACCTTTTCATGAAGCTAAAAAATAGCAAACCAAAATAACACATTAGGGACAGGTATGTAAGTGACCAACCATCTTAAAATAAATCATATGGGAATGAAAATCTCACAGTTGGTTAGTAGTGGTTACCTCTAGTGGAGTAGGACAGGGAAATATGGCCTGAATTCAGCAGTACTGGCAGTTTTGTGATTCTTAAATGGATTCATGGATTTTTTTAATGTTTTTTTTTTTTAATTTATTTTTGATTCAGAGAGAGACAGAGCATGAGTGGGGAGGGGCAGAGAGAGGGAAACACAGAATCTGAAACAGGCTCCAGGCTCTGAGCTAGCTGTCAGCACAGAGCCTGATGCAGGTCTTGAACCCACAAACTGCGAGATCATGACCTGAGCTGAAGTCGGACGCTTAACCAACTGAGCCACCCAGGCACCCTGGATTCATGGAATTTTTAAGTTATTTTCCTGCTTTAAGATAGATATATCTGTTACATAATTTGTTTTTAATATAGATCAAATATTATATAATAAAATACTTGGGAATATTAAAACGAATGTATGACAAGTATTACCTCTGGGGAGAATTTCAAAAGGTTAAAAGAAATTCAGGTTAAAAGAAGTTTACAATGTTTTGCTATGTTCAAAATTTTAAGTGTATATATACTTAAGTGCTAATGCACTATCACAGCAGTTTTGAAATTCATGTAAGAGTTGTAAAATGTACAGAATAAATGCATAATTTACACATATTTAATATATAGGTATATATTCATTACAAATTTTAGAAAATTATACATCAAACTATGAATAGTGTTTGTTTCTGGAGCAGTAGTTCTCAAGGGTAAGGATACAGGTTTTTTTGTCTCAGGGGACATTTGGCAATGTCTGGAGACTTTCTTTGTTTTCATGTTTGAGAGAGTGCCACCAAATTAGGAATCATTAGCAAAAAATATTTCTTTAAACTGTGTATGAAAATTTAAAATATATTGCTAAGTAATTTGTGAGTTAAAAACATTGCTGATAAACCTGTAAAAGAAGTTTAATCTCACTTGTAATTAAGGGATTTTAACAAATCACATACTATTTCATATTCAACATACTGACAAAATTTAAAGCATGAAAACAGCAAATGCTCTTAAGATTGTGGAAAAATAAAAGGGCTTATGTACCAGTGATGTGTGTAAATTGCTACAACCAGTTTGAGAGTAATTTTACAATATCTAGTAAAGTTGTCTATACACACACACACACACACACACACACACACTATATATATATATATGACTTAGCATTTCCTCTTCTAGGGATATACTGCAGAGAAATTTTCACACATCCATACAAGGAGATATGTATAACGTTTTGTAATAAAAGATAAATAGGAGTAATGATAAAAGCCCATCAATCAGAGAATGTATAATTTATATTCATACAGTGGGGTACCATTTAAAGTTAAGTGAACTATTTTCACAGATAACAATATCGAGCAATTATGAATTCATAACATTAAAGTAAAAATAAAAATAATTTGTAAGTTTATCCATTTGTATTATACTACTGATGTAAAATTTTAAGTGCAGAAGAATACATAACATTAGAGAATACATATAATAATGGTATCAAATCATGCAAAGGAAGGATACACCAACCTTAGGATAGTGGTTCCTGCTGAGGAACAATGGAGACAGCTTTCAACCAAGTCTATAGTTTTTATGTCTTAAAATATATACATAAATATCAATGAGTATTTGAATACATGGATAGTCTTTGTGGTGTGTGTGTGTGTGTGTTTGGAATATTTTTATAATTGAAGGAAAAGAACATCAAAAGTTAAGAGCCAAGGGTGCCTAGGTACTAGGTAGCTCAGTCGGTTGAGTGTCTACTTCGACTCAGGTCATGATCTCATGGTTCCTGGGTTTGAGGACCCCAGGGTTGGGTTCTGGTTGGGCTCTGTGCTGACAGCTCAGAGCCTGGAGCCTGCTTCAGATTCTGTGTCTGCCTCTCTCTCTGCCCCTCCTCCACTTGCTTTCTATCTCTCAAAAATGAATAAACATTTAAAAAGTTTTTAAAAATGTTAAGAACCAGTATCCCATGTTATGCAAGGCAAATACTTAATGACTGTGTGCACAGAGGAGGCAGAGGATGCTTAGCTAAGCTCTAAAATCACTTTTTAATGAATTTTCCCCAATATTCTTCCTTTCTCCTATCTCCTCTCACTGTGCCCACCCACTTATACATTAACCAGTTTATTTTTGCCATAGTATATCCTGTACACACTCCTATTAAATTTCATATTGTACTAATTGCATCTATTCACATGTTATTCTCACCCTAGAAACCATAGCTCTTTTAGGGTAGCAACTATATCTTCTTCGTGTGCCCCTTTGCCTAGTGTAGTGCCTGACAATTATAGTAAGCATTGAATAAATATTTGGTAAATAAACTGATGAATGGCTAATTAGATTCCAAAGCATGGAGAAATTTATAAGGAATAATTAGGAATATTAACCTTTTCCTACTTTTTTGTCTTAATACGATTGACACAAAATACATTCTTGCCTGAATCCAATAAGGGCATCCAGTCAGGCTCTATGCATTAGTTAAGAGTAGGTTTTGCTATATATAACTGGAGAACCTAAAATAACAATGATATCATTTAGAAATTTATTTCTTTCACACCAAAAAGAAGCCTTAAAGAAGGTGATCCAGGGCTGGGATGGAAGTTCTACAGTGTCAGAGACCCATGCTCCAACTGTCTTTCTGCTCCACCATCTTTATTGAAGTGGCTTATGAACCAAGATGATTACTTGCGTTCCAGCATTCTTTCCATGCTCCCTCCCTCCCTTCCTTCCTTTCATCTTTTTTCTCTTATAATTAAGTCCAAAGAAGGAAGGGAAAAAGACATGAACAGCCTTCATCTACTTTTGAAAGCCTTTCCAGAAGTATCCCACAATACTTCACCTTGTATATCCTTGGCCAGTACATAGTCCCATGGCTTCATCAAACCCTAAAGTGGGCAGGGAAATATCTTTTAGCAGGATTGAAGTGTTACTAGCTAAAGCTTGTGGTTAAAGAACAAGACAAGAATGAATATTGGAATATAACAAGCAGTCTATGAATTTTTAATCTGCTATGGGTACTAAAAGAAGGTAGAGAAAAGAGAAAAGAAAAGAAAATGCAGAGAGAGGTAGGTTCCAGAGAAAGCTTTCTACTTTACTATTTGTGTAAGCCTGTCCATAAATAAGCCAAAATTAGAATAATTTGTATTTAATCCAATTCCTATCAACCTTAATTTTGGTCTCAAGGATATTAACAAAATATCCATGTTTTATAGTACTACTTTTAGAAATTAATGTTTAATCTGATTTAATAGAATTTCCCTGCTATTTTTCTTCTGTACCATACCACATATTTTAAACTAAAATTGAGTTTTGGTTGTAGGCCTATGCTTATAAATTTGGCATCAGCCAAAGTGCTAGTCTTGCAAAAAAATAAATAAATAAATAAAAGCCCCACAAAAAACTCAGGTTGTGGTGGAATGAGGAAGCTAATATTTTATAGAAAATTAATCCATAAATAGTCAACAGACTTTCTCTGGGCATGTAATTCTGGTCAATGTTCCTGATATTGATTTTTTTTTTCCCACTGGGTTGTAAAATAAAGTTGTAATGAAAAGTTTTATCCTTTGGAGATTTGAAAAGTTGCTTCACTTGAGTCCTTTTCCTTCCAGGCTCTAGATTATCTTGGTATTCAGCCCACAAAAGAACAACGCCAAGCTCTGAGACAGCAAGTGCAAGTAGACCCAAAGGGGACGGTGTCTTTTGGAGGTAATATTAGGTTTACCATGTTGTGTCATCACAGAAACTTGGTGGGAGAGTTATGGTAACCTGTTTTTATAAGGAACGTATGCTTCTTTAGAAGGAAAAGGAGAAAAATAAGACCAGATCTATTTCAGGTTCCTTAATCAGTATCCTAAAATGTCGGTTACAAATACTGGCCTGGCTGGGTCAGCAGAAAGGGGACTTTCCTAGAATCTTCCAGCTCTAAAATAATCATCATCCTATCATACCTTTTTTGTTTTTTATTTATTGTATAAACATTGCTTTAGTAATAATAAAAGAAACAATGTGAAATATAGAAGTCCTAACTCTACCACTATGAATTCCCATACTTTCTTCCAGCTAATATGACAATAAATATTTTTATGATGCTGTATAATTATTCTTATGCAAGTTAGCATAAAGTTGACATACTTAGTTGATGTACTATAATATTAAGCCTTTCCATTTCTGGGATTTTAATAGTGTCTCAGTAGCTGATATTACAGGTAATTCTATATTTAACATCAGAGTTTTTTTCCTACTTAGGATAAATTCCCACAAGTGGTTTAGACTTTTGATACACATTTATAAGTTGTTTTTAAGAGATATTTTACATATGAATTTGTTCTGCCCCTAGTAATGTCTGAATTTAACAGTTTTTTGTATCCTTGACAGCATTCAGTAATTTTTTTCTTATACAGTAGATGCAATATTGTATGTATTATTTTTAAAGCATCTGTATTGCTAAAAAAGAATTCACTTTTTGGTTTCAAAGTGATAAAAAATACGTGTTTGCTTTCCTCTCCTTTTGAAAGTCAGCCCAAATAATGAAGAGAACAGAAGGAAAAATTGCATGTATAACTAAAACCACAATAAGGACAGAACATGGATGAGGAAAGTAAATGAATTGGTAAATAGAGACAACAAAGCCCAAGCGTCTGAAGAGATGAGGGAACCAAGTGAGGAACAAGCTGATTTATTGCTGCAAAGAATTGGGAATTGAAAGTATCAGGTACTTCTGAAGGGTAGGTATAGGCAGGCCATTTCAAATAGGATTGTTAGAAATCCGTGTAAGGAGTATTTATCTATGCTATCACCTGCCACCTCTCAAGCAGCCCAGGCCTTAGCACTGCCTTATACGTGCTGAGGAAAAGAAGTATATTTTCTTCAGAAATTAAACCAGAGAGATTCTGAACCTATAGCTGCCAGCAGTCAGGGAATTTAGAGGAATGTATGTTGAGTTATCACTCATAACACATACCCGGATTGCTTGGTGAGCTTTGCAACCATGTTTATGGCCAAGAGATCATAGGATTCTATGTGGAGGGGCTGCCCCAAGGTGTCAGTTGGCCATCTGATTGCTCTGTGGTAAAAACCAGCCAGTTCACAAGGCAAGTTATACATACAGAATTTCCAATGAGTGTTTTGGCGGTGATTCTTCTTGAATACGCACTCAGACAAGGGTCACCAGACACTTGGAGAAATTCTCTGACCTAAAATATAAAAGCCCCAAACTGTCTGACAAAGAGAAAAACAGGAACCCTGAAAAACAAGGAATAGTGCAAAAGCAGGAGAGAACTTCAGACAAATCACAGTGAACATCTTTGAAAGGGTAAACAAAGGGGCGCCCGGGTGGCGTAGTTGGTTGAGCGTCCGACTTTCGCTCGGGTCATGATCTCGCGGTTCGTGGGTTCGAGCCCCGCGTCGGGCTCTGTGCTGACTGCCAGCTCAGAGCCTGGAGCCTGTTTCAGTCTGTGACTCCCTCTCTCTCTGACCCTCCCCTGCTCACGCTGTCTCTCTCTCTCTCTCCTAGAAATAAATAAAAAAAAAAAAAAAAAAAAAAGGGTAAACAAAGATAGGTCATCCATGACGTAAAGAGGAGGATATTGTAGACTAGGAACAATGGGAAAATATGAAAAGGATCCTTGGAAATTAAAAATGTAATAGCTAAAATTTAAAAATTTGAGGATGAATGGGCACACCCATGTCTGAAGAAGCTTACAGTTTGCTAGCCAGCATCAGGCAGACATGGAGTTAGACCTTCATTTGAATCCTGCTCTGCTATTTATCTGCCACGTGATTTTGGGAAGTTTCGCAGTTAAGTTGTCTTAGCTGCAGTGAGCAGAATGAAGAGGATAGGAGGCCTATGTCAGAAAATCGTTGGGAGGATGAAATAGCAAATCACTGTGCCTAGCACAAGAAGGCTGTTCCGTAAACATTAGCTCCTGCAATTACTATTTTTGTTAAATCTCCAGTTCCAGCTAAAAACTCTAAGTCACAATATCATCATATATTTCGGAGAAAGTTCTTATTCATGATGAAAGAGTTGGAGAAAATAGATGTACCTACGATATGTGTGTGCTTTATTGTTACCTTAACTGATTTATTAACCTCACCAAAGTTAACTCAAGTAAGTTAAAAACTGGTTTTTCCCTCACTTACTTTTTATTTGGGCTTATATTTGTCACTTCAATTAATACCACTTAAATGTAATTCATTGAAGTAAATTCAATTTGAAACATTAGTTTTAATGCATAGCTTCAACTTCGTTTAGAAAAAGGTAAAGATAGGGGCGCCTGGGTGGCTTAGTCGGTTAAGCGTCCGACTTTCGCTTAGGTCATGATCACACGGTTCATGGGTTCGAGCCCCACGTCGGGCTCTGTGCTGACTGCCAGCTCAGAGCCTGGAGCCTGTTTCAGTCTGTGACTCCCTCTCTCTCTGACCCTCCCCTGCTCATGCTGTCTCTCTCTCTCTCCTAGAAATAAATAAAATATTAAAAAAAAATTTTTTTAAAAAAAGAAAAAGGTAAAGATATATTTAGATGAGGTTAAGTGTTGTGTTCCTACTAAAATGTGTTCCATTTCAGATTTTGTCCAGGTTGCCAGAAACTTGTTTTCCTTGCAGCTGGATGAAGTAAATGTTGGTGCATGTGATATTTCCAACATACTCGATTCACAGGTAGAGTGCACACTATAGAATTATCTTGATTGTACTTGGATCATAAGTCTTGAATGTTGTATGTCATATATGTAGCCTTTTTTCATTTTTCACTTTAAAAAATTATGCAATAATATATGCTTCTTCATAAACATATAAAATATAGATTAATGTAAAATCACAAGTAAAATTTCATCTCGATCTCTCCCGTCCCTCCTCTCTCACTATTTCCTTATGGTACTTCCTAAACTTGCCACAGAACAGTACTCATAAGCGTATACCCTCTGAAGTTTTGCAGTCTGAACCATCTTCATGTGTTAGCCTCCAGATCAAGAAGCACAACATTAAGGAAATACATTACTAGTAACCTAATGCTCTCCCATCCCCATGCTCCTTTCCTGTTTCTTCTCTTCTTCCCCATGTGCCTCCAGTCAGGGTAACTTTTTTGCCTGTTTTTGTGCTTTCTATAAAGTGGAATTGTGAAGGCTATTAACTTCACAAGCTGTTTGTTCTACAGAACTTTGACATTTATATTGTCACATTTTTTAGTCTTTTATTAACGGAGTTTTTGTGTTATTGTGTTATTCAGGAAGATCTTCCCAATTTATATATTTAATTCACTCAAGATCTATTCTTGTCTATGTGTGAGTTAGGACCCTAAATGGATAACCACTTGCCCATTTTCCACCATCATTTATTTGATAGCCGTCCTTCTCCAATTTTGCTATTTTTTTAAATTTTTATTTATTTTTGAGGGACAGAGAGAGACAGAGTATGAGCAGGGGAGGGTTAGAGAGAGAGAGAGACAGAATGTGAAGCAGGCTCCAGGCTCTGAGCTGTCAGCACATCTACACCCAACTTAGGGCTTGGACTCACAACCCCAAGATCATGAGTCACATGCTTCAATGACTGAGACAACAAATGCCCCAAGATATCAATTTTGGAATGGTTATTTTGTGTGATGCCACTTTATTTAACTCTCTTATTCTAGTTATTTTTGATTTGTCTTGGGTTTTCTAAATAGGCATTTTAAATTAACTACATTTTTGTTTCTTCCACAAAATTTTACTTTTTTCTAAATCCCATTGGAACAGGAGCTATAAAAGTGAGCAAGAAACAAATTTTCATGATATTTGAGCCATTTTACAGTTTTAATTTTTAAAAAGAAGCTAGCAGTATTTTATTTGATAAATAAGAGTTATATTTTATATCTACTTAATTATAAATTATTTAAAAATTATAAAATTTATAAATAAGATTTATGCCATTTCTATTTTTCTACAACAGTTTATTTTTTTAATTTTTGAATTTCATTTTATTTTAGAATTAGAGAGAGCATGAGTGAGGAAGAAGGGAGAGGGCCTGAGGGAGAGAGAGAGACAATATTTAGCAGGCTTCATGCCCAACATGGGGCTTGATCCCACAACCCTGGGATCATGACCTGCACTGAAATCAAGAGTTGGAAACTCAACCAACTGAGTCATATAGGCCTTCCTTTTTAAAATTTTTTAAATTTATTTATAGCAGTTTAAATAATAGAAACTTTATCTGTTCAAAAATGTTTCATAGGCCAGATGAATCTGGGTCATTTTTGGGAGAGAAAGCATTCCTATTTTTTAATGCCTTCTAAGGTTATTTTGTTCAAGTTTTTGTCCTTTTCTGGAATAATTCTGTTAATGGACATCTTCATAGAAAATTTTTCATTTCATCAAGATAATAAAATTTGTTAAAAAAATAACTTGGAATTTTATTTTTAATATATTTTAACAGTACTGCTCTTTATCTCAAAGATACACTACACAATTTTTACAAAGTCATCACACCCACCAGTTTCTATAGATCATATTTTAATGATCATTTAGTATAATATTTCCAGTGTGGTTGCTTCTTATTTTGAACTATTTTAGACATTTTCTAATGCTATAGTTCCCTTCCAGTTGCTGACTTCTAGAGTACTTCACTGAAGTTAGAAACATATTCTCTGTGGTATTAATCCTTACAGCAGAAGTTAGAAATTCATTCTCTAAGGTATTAATCCTTTGGACATATATCCAGCATATAGTCAATTTTATAAAATATTTATTTTGAGGGGCGCCTGGATGGCTCATTCGGTTAAGCATCTGACCTTTGATTTCAGCTCAGGTCCTGATCTCATGGTTTTTGGGATTGAGCCCCATGTAGGGCTCTGCACTGACAGTGCAGGGCCTGCTTGGGATTCTCTCCCTCTTTCTCTGCCTCTCTCTTCAAAATAAATAAAATTTCAAAAATTAAAAAAAATTTCTTTTGAAAAGTATATATATTTTGCACTTAAGTGAGTATAATGCTCCCTGTATATCAGTTAGGTCAAAGTTATTAAATCATGTGGTTCAATCAAATTTTCTATTTTCTTCTTTTTTTTCAAATTTTCTGTTTTCTTACTTATTTCTTGTCTTCTTTTATTATCAGTTATTGAGCAAGAGGCATTTTAAAATTTCCCCAACTTAGTTCTGCCAGTTTTTACTTTCTGTATCATAGGCTGTCTTATTAGGTATATATAATTTTAAAGTCCTTATTACATCCTAAGAGGATATAGAATCTCTTCATGTCTAGACTGTTTCCTGCTTTAAAATCAACTTAATCTGGGACACCTGGGTGGCTCATTCAGTTGAGCATCCCACTTCTGCTCAGGTCATGATCTAACGGTTCATGGGTTCAAGCCCCACATTGGGCTCTGTGCTGACAGCCCAGAGCCTGGAGCCTGCTTCAGATTCTTTGTCTCTCTCTTACTCTGCCCACCCCTCCCCCACTCATGCTCTGTCTCTGTCTCTCAAAAATAAATAAACAGTAAAAAAATTTTTTTAATCAACTTAATCAAACCATGAAGCTACACCACTTTTAATTTTAGTTGGTGTTTGGTTTGGTTTCCAATGACTATAAATTTTCTCTCTCTTTCTGTCTAGTTATTTACTTTGAGAGAGAGAGAGAGAACCTGTGAGCAGGAGAGAAGCAGAGAGAGAGAAACCCAAGCAGGCTCCGCACCGTTGCCACAGAGCTCGAAGCAGGGCTCAGTCTCACAAACCATGAGATCATGACCTGAACTGAGCTTAAGAGCTGAATGCTTAACTGACTCATCCACCCAGGTGCCCCAACTATAAATTTTCTCTTTTTTAAAGAAAACTGTTATATCACCCTTTAAATGTATTTAATGGAATCTAAATACATAATCATCTATTTAAAAGAAAATTTATGGGGTGCCTGGCTGGCTCAGTAGGTAGTGGATCTGACTCATGATCCCAATGGTCATGAGTTCAAGCCCCATGTTGGGCATGGAGCCTACTTTAAAGGAAGGAAGGAAGGAAATTAAATTTTAGAAATTCATCTATAAATTCTTGAAAAAGTTTTTTAATGCTTATAAATAAGACCATGAGATCAGGACCTAAACATTAAATAAATAGGACCATGAGATCAGGACCTAAGCATTTAAAAAAAATTCTAGCATTTTGGGAGAGAGAGGCAGAGAGAGGGGGAAACACAGAATCCAAAGCAGGCTCAAGATCTGTGCTGTCAGCACAGAGCATGACTCAGGGCTTGAACCCACAAACTGCAAGATCATGACTGGAGCTGAAGTCAAACGCTTAACCGAATGAGCCACCAGATGCCCCATACGAAAATTCTTATTCTCAGAAATATATCGGGGTGCCTGGGTGGCTCAGTCAGATAAGCGTCTGACTTCAGCTCAGATCACAATCTCACAATTTGTGAGTACAAGCCCAACATGGGGCTCTGTGCTGATAGCCCAGAGCTCAGAGCTGGGAGCCTGGAACATGTTTCAGATTCTGTGTCTCCCTCTTTCTCTGCCCCTCCCCTGCTCACACTCTGTCTCTTTCTCAAAAATAAACATTAAAAAAAAAAAAAAATTTACCATCTTTCCTTTTTCTCTGCTAACTCTTATTTTTATTCCATATTACCCTAGAATGTTACTTATATATTACAATTTTAATTTCAAGAATATATTATAATTTCAATACACTAGACTTAAATGTCTGTCGTTGATCATCCGATCATTTTTGCAAAAAATTTAGATAATTAAAATATATTTGTTTTAAGTCACTGTGTTCATAAACTCTGACATATTAAAATTTTCTTCTGAATTGAGTAGTAATTATACTTATTGGTACACAATTAAAAATATAGATATATCAATTTTGCTTAATTATTTCTATAAAAGTAATTTTTAAAATACACATTCATATTTCAGTGGCTGGGTTATTTGCAGTCCAGGTCTGTCATTTATAAGGATTCCATATTTGCATGGGCATTTTTGGATTCTTCAGTGCTGGTGTACTTTACTTCTTAGGTATTGATATCTGATAACATAATTGCCCACTTTGTTCTTCTTTTTAAATATTACTTTGGCTAATCTTTTCTCTTATCTTTTCCAAGCAAGTTGTAGCAAAAATTTTACTGTCTTGAATTTCTAGGTTATTTTGGGGAGGAAACAGCATCTTCATAAATTTAAATAATCCTATCTGTGAACATGTGTTGACTTCTTTGTTTATATCTTCTTGAATGGCAAATAATAATTTGATTTATTTTTTCCAATACAAGCTTTATTAATCTTTTGTCAGGTTTACTTCTAGTTACTTTTCACTTTTTTGCCGTTATAATAAACGGTGTCTTTTTGTTTTCAAGAGTTCATTTTTTTTAGACAGTTTTAGGTTTACTGCAAAATTGAGGGGAAGGTTCAGATATTTCCCACATGCCTTCTGCCTCAACTCGTACATAGCCTCTGCCATTAAACCATCCCCACCAGAGTGGTATATTTGTTATAATTGGTGAACCAACATCATAATCTCCTAAATTCCAGTTTACATTATGGTTCACTCTGGGTCCTGTACAGTCTGTGTGAGTTTGGACAAATGTATAAATGTGAATTTGGACATGTATCCATCATTATGGTATCATACAGAGTATTTTTACTGCTCTGATTTTTACCAATGTGCTCTGCCTGTTCGCCTCTCCACACAGCCCCCACCCTCACC